AATGATAAAAGGTTTTAAGTCAGACTACACAATATAGGAGGGGGTGTTCTGGCTTCTGTGTGGTGATAGATCTGGGGGTGCAATTAGAAGCCTAATTTGCATATCATTACAACAGGCCAGTGAGCCAAGATGAGGGGACTGGGTGTGGCCATCCAGGAGGAATTCCTGAAATGTTTTGGAAATATTTAAGGGAGGCGAGCGATTGGATTTGGGGAAGTGGCACTGAGGGAGAGGGAGGCACTGAGAACATTTGGCAGGGACCTAGAAGGGCCTGGAAAGAACAGGACGTGGGCTGGACGAGTGCTCTCAAGAGAGAGAACAGCTGGAACGTGGACAGTCAGGGGGGCGTATGGCTGGGACAGGCACCACCAGGAGAGGCTCTGTGTGGTCAGTAGGAACGTCAGGCCCTGACTGTCCCCACTGTCCACCCCTGCCAACTTACTGGCACACTTGTGGAAGCCTTTTGAACTTAGGCAAACTCTCTTTCCCCCCACAGTGAGAACCAATGGAAAAGTCCTAGAACCAAGGGGCAAGCTGGCGGTGAGGCCTGTGCTCTCTGTTGGCCACCTGGGTGTCTCCTAGTGATGCTCTCTGTGGTGCCCAGATGTCCTGGGCTGTGTGTCTGCTGAGCTCCTAGTCCGCATTGTGCTGCTATAACAGAGCACCACGGGCTGGGTGGCTTATCAACAACAGACATTTATTTCTCACAGTTCTGGAGGCTGGGAAGTCCAAGACCTAGGCTCTGGCAGATTCAGCGTCTGGTGAGGGCCTGCTTTCTGGGTCATAGACAATGGAAGAGGAGAGAGAGTTCTCTGGGGCCTCTTTTATAAAAGCATGAATCCCCATCATAAGGGTGGAGCCCTTCTGACCTAATCACCTCCCAAAGGTCCCACCTCCAAATACCATCACATCGTGAATGAGGCTTCAACAGATGAATCTGGTGGGACAGGAGCATTCAGACCACAGCATGGGACACGCAGAAGAAAAGCGAGCTCAGGCCCAGGTGCCTAAAGCCAGCTGTGGTACGGAAGGCGGCACCAGCAGCCCGGCCAGGAAGCGGCTCACTAAGGTCGTGCCGCCCCCCATTGCCCTCTCCAAGCAAGGGGTTAAACATTTCTTTAAAAACCCTACCGTGCCTTGGAAATCAGCTGAATAGCCTTTCTGTACAGCTCCAAATGTCCCCGGTGCACTACCTGGCTTTCTGACGAGATATAAACGGTGGATTTTATGGGCAGCGGCATGGGCCAGTGGGCTAAGGACAGGCCGGGGAGCCAGCAAGGACGCAGCCGTGGCGCCTGGTGACCGCTTGACTCAAGGTGTGACCTTGGACTGGTTGCTTAACCTGTTTACACCTTAGTTTCCTTGGCTGAAAAATGGGAGTCCTGATACCAGCAGGCCTCACAGGGGGGCCGTGAGCAGGAGCTAATTGATGGCTGAAGTGCACCCTGGATGTCTGCGGCGCTAGTAAACTGCTAAGTAATTACGCGGCGCCTCTGAGCGCTGGCAGCCGACACGCAGGGCACTCTTCCCAGGCCGGGCCGCCGAGCGAGGCTGAGAATGCCTGGCTCAGCGAAACCCCAGCCATCCACCTCCCCGGCGAGCCCTCCGCAAGGTCATTCCTCATCTCCTGGAGATCTTCCTCCTCGGGGTGCTGACATCTCTTCTGTCTCAGACCTGTGTTTAACCTTCTTTTCTGCAAGATGGGGCTTTTTCTTTAACTGACAGTCCCGTGCACAACTGTGTTTGTTGAGCAGCCACCAGATGCAGGCTGTTGTGCAAAGCGCTTCCTGGGTCTTCTCTCACGGACTCCTCCCCGCAGGGACATTTTACGGGGCCCTGTTGTTCCCATTTAACAGATGCAAAAACCAAGGGCTCAGAACATTTAGGTACTCACTCTGTGTGTCCTTTCAGGGGAGCCTGTCTGTCACTGTGTCCATTTAAGGGATGAACCTGGGCAGTCCCGAAGAGGCAGGAGAGGGTTCAAAGCCAGAGTTTTCTAGCTTCAAAGACCTTCCCCTTGCTCTGCACAGCCTTTCCAGTTAGCTCTCTCTCCGTGTCCTGTAGTGCAGTGGGGCGGAGCACGGAGCAGAGGCATCACTGCACTGAGCTGCAGGGAACCTGGGTAACCTTTTCGTGTCTCTACTGCAAAACTACTGTGAGGCTTGGGGCAAGTCACTTGACCGTTTGGAATCTATTCCTTTCCACCGATGTCCCCTTTGGCTCTACCATATTCCAACTCTACACCGTGGCTGGATAGCACAGTCACAGATACCTCCTCTCTGCTTGTTCTAATATATAACAGATATTAGCATTTCTGCCATGGCCAGCTTGGCTAAGTGAGTCTTGTGGTCAGAGATTGTGCTTATATTTAGTTATCTATAATAAAATGCATGTACAGAATGTGCCAGGCTGTGTGTTAGGACTGTGTCATTGGCCTGAGGAGCAGAGTCTAGTTAGCAAGACAGATGCATGAGCAGGAGGTTCTAGGATAATTTGGTCCACACCCCAGCAGCTGTGGCCTCCTTCTCTCTCGGCTCCACCTGGCCTGACTTATCAGTGAGAAAGAGCCGTGGAGCTGAGCCCTGGGGGCTGCTCCTTGAGAAACCAAGTGATTCCCATCTGCTTCTATGGGAAGGGGACAGTGAGTGAAAGAAGAATTGAGCCCACCTTGCGTTAGGACGTGGCATCTATCTTATAGTGTGGTCATCTTACAGGATGGGCATCTCATAGGGTGCACCTCTCCGGGGTGCACAAGGATCCTAGAGCAAGCCAGTGGTCCCCACTCCTGGGACTGAGCAATGACACCAAATCTCCCACCTGCCCCAGAGGGGCCCTGATGGGTCACAAGGAGTAGCGAACAACACTATAATTAACTAGAGCTGGCAAAGTGATGGTGACACTGTTTAATTTTGTCTTCCCCAAACTGTTGACGAAGCTGTGGAACATTTCACTGGCCCAGGCAGCAAACTGCCCGAATCCAGGCAGGCTGAGCAGTCCCTGTTTGGGCGCCCTCAGAATGACAGCACTGAGCCCACGAGCCTGCTCCTCCCGTCTCTGCCCCCCTGTGAAGGCTTTGCTGGCCAGATAGCACTTTTCATCCTTCCCAAGTATTTCCCCTGCTCCCCCCAGTTCCTGGTCTGAACAAAGGATGTGCAAAAATAGCATAATCCTTGGTGACCCGCAGGCCCCCAATCCTCACCTCTCTTCTTCCCCAAATCACAAGGCCCTACTGCGTTTCTGTCCCCATTCCTCCCTCATGCCTGAGCTCCCAGGAGAAGTGCCGGAATGTGAGCCTTCTTTAAATCCTGCCTTTCTGGACGCTTCCAAGCAAATGGGATCCAGCACCACTTTCTATTAGCACAACCTGGCCTTTACAGCACGCGCCATCATGGGCTGCTCTGTGGATCACTTAGAGTTATGAAAACCGCCCTGGGCTACCCTGGCATCCAGAGGGCTTCAGGGAGCAGCCCGAGAAGATTGGGGAACAGAACACAGAAAGCTCTGAATTGTCCACTAAATGCCATCTGTGCCGGCCACTCCCTCAGGCCCAGCCTCCCCGCCTGGTCCTGCCCTCTCTCATCGGATTGGCACCGGGACAAGGACATGGAGCCACAGTAGGTAGCATGAGTGGCTGCCACCTTGGGCGCCTGTGCCGGCACTGTGCTCAGGACTCATTTAGTACTGGCAGGAAGCCTATACTGCATTTAAACGTGAGGCCCAAAGGAATTAAGTGACTTAAGAAAGGGCAGAAGTGGGATTCCACAGCTCATGCTCTTTGTGCCTCCCCAAAGGGCCTTCCGTTCCACCTACCGGGGAAGATGCTACAAAGGAACTGGAGTCAGTCAGTGAACTATGCCTGTAGAGAGACAAATTCTTTCCAGAAGGGCCACATCTCAGGGCAGAATAGTGTCAGCTGGCTGGGGTCACAGGGACCATCTCATTAGGCCCACTCAGGCACTGGATGGTTAACTGTGAACATGTAGGACTACCCCTCTGCCTCCGAATGAGTGGGGACACTGTGTCCCTCCAAGGAACCCAAGGAACCACCCATGATTGAGATTCCAGCCCTGTTCTGACTCCCCTGCAGGGAGCATGAGGCAGGGCTGAGGTTTGTAAAAAACGAAACACAACAGCTGGGCATTGTGGCGCTTGCCTGTGGCCCCAGCTACTCAGGAGGCTAAGTTGGAAGGATTGCTTGAGCCCAGGAGTTTGAGCCTGCTGTGAGCTATGATTGTGCCTGGGTGACAGAGCAAGACCCTGTCTTAAGAAAAAAAAAGAAGCAAAAGCAAAACTTCACATAAACCCAGTGTAGAGTGCTGTGAACCTGGCTTGAAAGCAAGCTCGTGAGAACCAGCCTGCAGATCAGTCCCTCGCCGGGCTCTGAAGCTCGGCCACCATTTACGGTTCCCAGGGCGGGGCCCGCGGGGACGTGCACAGCGGTGGTGGAGGACACCCAGCCCGGCCTGCATCCCATCCATCCTTCCCAGAATGACCCTTTGCTCCTTCATTCTTTTGGTACAAGTTTCTGCCAAAGGAACGCAGATGGGGAGAGAAAAATCAGGGCTGGGTTTAGATAGGGGGAAAACATTCTCAGAATGTTAGTATGTTCCTTCTGGAGGAAAGACTTAAAATAATATCAAGTCATGTTGCAGTTTTTCTGGGCACACGCACACACACACACACACGCACACACAGGTGCAGAGCGTGGTCGCCTGGTTCTCAGCTTGTGCCTCTGTCGGTGCTCTCTGGAGGCCATCGCAGAGGTGTGGGGCTTTCAGTTTTTCTTCACTCCGGTCCTGGGGCCTCTCCCCGACCTCTCTTTTCTGTGCTCTTTGCTCCTGCCAGCACTGCCACTCTCTCCCTTCTCTGTCCTCCCGAGTCCTCCGGCTCGCCTCTTCCTCCCGTAGCAGCTCACTGTCTCCCGTACTGGTATCACAGGGAAAAGGACTGACACAACTGTAGGCGTTCCCTTCCTGGAGCGTGTGCATTTCTGGGAACGAATGGCTGTGAAAGTGAGGTGCTTCGTGCCCCAGGGAGCCGAGGACGAGCACTGGGGGGCTGCCTCCATGTACCCCAAAGGTCTGCTTTGAGTATAAAGTCTTCTCAGCTGTTCCTTGCTCTTTGAAGGCTGGGCAGGAGCTTGGTGGATAGATATCTTTATCACTTGTTCCTTCTCCTTCCAGACAACATTCCTGCCTCCCCAAAGAGGCACACAGAGAATGGGCATGGGTCCCGCTCTCGCTAACTGTGTTTGTGGGGAGCAGGGCTGCTGACCCGGCAGAGGCTGTCTGGGTGCCCAGAGCCCGGGTGGGAGGGCCGTGCCGATAAAGGGCTCTGGCAGCAGGGAAGGGCAGAGGGAAGGCGAGAGCGCGATGCTGAGAGGAGCTGACAGCAGGAACCTGCCTGTGCCCTTTCCTCTGCTGAGTGACCGGGGCCTGGAATTTGAAAACCCCCAAATGTGACATGGCCTGACCTTTGGCGTCTGGGTTATAGGAACCAGTAAAATGAGAAGAGAAATGGTTTGGACCGAGGCATGCTCTAAAGTGGACAGAGCTACGCTCGTACCATCTCGTGAGGTGCTCGCGGGTAAAGCGGGCAGAATTTCTCCCCTCTCGAGCATCAGCCTTTCCTTCTAGGAAATGGGGGTGAGGGTCATTGCCTTCTAGGAAATGGGGGTGAGGGTCATTGCCTTCTAGGAAATGGGGGTGAGGAAATGGGGGTGAGGAAATGGGGGTGAGGGTCATTGCCTTCTAGGAAATGGGGGTGAGGAAATGGGGGTGAGGGTCATTGCCTTCTAGGAAATGGGGGTGAGGAAATGGGGGTGAGGGTCATTGCCAAGTGGCAGAACCAGGATTGGAACCCAGGTCTTCTAACTCCCAAAGGCTCATCCTGCTGATTTTTCCAGAGGTGTGGGAAGTAATCCCAAAGGTCAGGACAAAGTTCAACAACAAATAGCATGCAGGCCCAGACATATTAATGTATCTATATCTATATATGGTTATGTGTGTAGACATTTTATATTATACGTGTATGTATATATGTTATGTGTATGTATGTATTCAATATATATTCTCTCAACTGCTTCTACTAAACCAGTCTGCTAGGTAACAGCTGCTCTTTAGCCCTTTCCTAAAATATATTCACTGATCCCAGGATTCGATGAAGGGCCCAGGCTAGCAGCAACCCTCAGGTGCCCTCTTCCCCAGCACGCCTCTCTCCAGCATGTTCTCCCACTCCTGCCGCTTAAGGCACGCTAAGAGTCCACGGATCTTTGGTGCCCACACTGGCTTCATGTGTGCTTTGCTTGTCTTTGTCAAAGCTTCTCGCAATTAAGTTATTTAATGAAATGTTCTGCAAACAGATAATATAATGAGAGTGAAGAGAAACCGTTACTCCTATGCAAACTAAGTTAAGTATTTTGAGAAGATTGAGCATGGGTTGCTAGAAAGCGTTACTGATGGGTTACATGCGGGTGAGGTAACATTAAAGATTGCAGGATCATAATGTATTGTGTATTTTTCAAAACTGCTAACATAGATTTTTTAATGTTCTCACCACACACAAGACATGATAAATTGGTGAGGAGATGGGTATCTTGATTAGCTTGATTGACTCTTTCTATAATGTATACATAGATCAAAACAGCACATGATTCCCCATAAATATGCCCAATTACGATTTGTCAATTAAAAATAAACTTTAAAAAAGATTGGGGGGAAACGAACACATCTAGCATGATTCTTCATTCAGATTACTTGGCAAGTGCAGATTTTTACTCCACTGTAAAGCAAGGGGAACTGGAAATGGTAGGGGAAGGTTTGCCGAGGAACGACAGCTGGGTACGCCCATCCGTGGACCCGAACTCAAAGGAGAGGTGTTGGACCTACATCAAAGGACTGTGCGAATGGATGTACATTTATGTGTTTTAAGTTAAAATGTTGAAGGTATATAGTATGATTTTCTCTGATTTCTCTTTTTAACCACCATTTTTCCATTAACTGACCAACACCAGTCCATATCGCGTCAGATAAAAGGGATCCTGATCTAACAGCTAATAGTTATTGAGCAATTATTTGGTGCCAGACCCTGTACTGAATGCCTTTTATGTGGCACCTCTTAGTCTTCACAACCTACCTATGAGTTAGATACTAATATTATATTACTCCATGGTGGTACATGGGCCAGTTTTTACAGGTCCTGATCACTCTTGCCTCCTATCTACCTTCTTTTCCCTTGCCGGCCAGTGTCTTGCTACTGAATGGCATCTCTATAAACCAGCACCCTGCCTGTGAAAGTCCTCAGGCTCCTTGGGAGGACGTGCCCCTGATGGATCCCTGGGGAAAGGGGTGTGAGGGGGTTGGATATGGTGACTTCACAGTGGCCCAATCCAGGTTTCCTGCATGGATATGAAGAAGCAGACAAGTAAATCCATAGGGTGGGAGCTGTGAAACAAAAGCTGGTGCAACGTGCTCGGGCAGGATGAAGCCCGGCACTAGGTCCTCTGCTGTGAAGTGGGGTGGAGGGTGAGGGTGGAACTTTCAGCAGTGACACCCTGGGAAAGCCCACCTGAGGCACCCAGGAGGAAGGGGCTGGGGGAAGGAAGGATATGGGCAGCATGTGGGCCAGGAGACAGAGCTTCCTGACTCAAGCTGGGGTCTAGAAAAGGGGACGGGGACAGTAGCAGCAGCTGAAGGACCACCATAGGGAGGAAGAGAGGAGAGCGCCTCCTTCCAAGAGGGGCATCGTGGAACCTGTGTCTTCTACACTCACATAGTCTCAACAGAAACACTTTGGGTGAACTGTTGGCGTTGGGGCGGAATGCCAGAATGCTCTCAGGGCAGTGAGATCAGGATTAGCAGGTGACAGAGAAAGGAGAGCACGAAGAGCCACAGACTGGGAAGGGAGGAAACGTTTGCTGCACATATACCTGACAAAGGACTCACATCCTGGATGCATAAAGAACTCTTCCGACATGATAAGAAGATGGCAAATAGCCCAATTAAAAATAGGTAGAAGATTTGAAGAGACACCCCACAGAAGATGTTTGCGTGACCAATATGTTTCACTTCATCCGTCGTCAGGGAAAGGCAAATTCAAACCACAGTGAGACACCACTACCCGGACATGAAGGCAGCTACAATTTACAAGACTGACCAGACCGAGTCTGTGAGCGCAGCGCTGTGCCAAGCGCAGGGCAACACATGCAGTCTGAATAAGGGGTGCATTGTCTGTAGAGAATTTAAAACAATAGTAAAACCACTGAGAGTCCATCTGCTTTTTATTATCACCATGCATCGGCAATTCTAAACAATGTCAGTGATAAGCTATTCCTCCCCCGCGGCCCCGCCCTTGGCAGCCCCCTCCTCTTGGCCCGGATGTGTGTGGGTGTGTGTGTGTGAGGTGGTACCACCACCTCGGAGAATCGCTGGGCATTTTCTTTTTAAAATTAAAGGAAATACACTTCCACTTCTTTACCCAAGAGAAATGAAAACACATGAAGCGAATGTTTATAGCAGCTTTATTTATAATAACCCCCCAAATGGAAACAATCCAAACATTCATCAGTAGGTGAGTGGATTAACAACATGTGGTATATCCATACAATGTAATACTACTTAGCAACTGAAAAAGAATAAAGTCCAATACTCATAACAAAGTAATGAATCTTAAAAACATTATGCTGAGCAGAAGAAGCCAGACACACAAGAATACATGCTGTTTGATTCCATTTATTTGAAGAACAAGAACAGGGAAATCTAATCTATAGTGACAGAAAGCAGAACAGTGGTTGCCTGGGGTGGGGGGTGGGGGGTGGGGGGTGGGAGGGGTATTGGCTGGGAAGGGTACAGGGGAACATTTTGGTGTGCAGATAATATTCATTAGATTGATTTTCCTGGTGGCTACACAGTTGAATACATTGGCCCAAACTCCTCAAAACTGTATACTTAAAATGCATGTACTTTATTGCATCTAAATTAAACTTTCATGAGGTTGATACAAAACAAAAGTTTGAAACAAAGGAAAAAAAAAAAACCTAGGGTTAGGAACCAGGATAGATATTGATTAATTCAATAAGGTGTCCCAGGCTTTTTGTGATCATTCCTGAGTGGACTCCATCCACGGCATGGCAGGGACGTGCCTGGAGACCACACGTGCAGTGTCCAGTCTGGATGTGGATTTACACTAGCCGTTATGAAAAGCTGTGCATATGCATATTTGAATCCACAGAAATTTTTATTTCTTTCCTCTAAAGTGTTTCTGTGCTTCTCTCAAGTTCCAATACGCTTAACACCTTCAGATGTAGGCAAAAACTATTCTTGGAATTATATGATAGTAACAGTAATAGTAGCAGCAATAGCAGCTAACATTTACTGAATATATACTGGGGCCAGACGCTATGCTCACTGATTTACCTGCATTATTTTACGTACCCTTTATCCTGTGTCCCATTTTCTAGAGAAGGATGGAGATTCAGAAAGGCAGAAGCTCTTGTCCAGGGTGCACAGCTAGTCAGCCCAAGACTGACCTTCAGGTCTGTCTGATTTGGATGCTGCGTTCTTGTCACTGCAATCCAGGGCTTCCAGGCCGGGACCAGTCTGACCACACAGTCGTCAGTGAGGTGGCGCTAAACATGCTCACCGCTGTGGAGCACACCCGGTCCACTGAGCTGCCCGGGTGAGCCTTCCTGAGCTCGACTCCCCAGCAGTCAGCATGGTGCCTGGCAGATGGACTCACACTGCGTGATGAGTTCTTAGTAACGTCACTTATGGACGGCAACCAACTGCAAAGTTGAATTGCCTTATCCTCGTGGGCTTTAGAGGGGGAAGGGGGAGATTCCTCCTTGACCTTCTACTTCTTCCCTGAGCTTTACTTTCTCCCTCTCTTCCCTCCCCCAGGATTCTGTGAAGTTTATTCTTTTGAACTGTGACCGTGACCGTATATATCTCCGGGTGTATTCTAACAGGAACCTGTGCTCCTTCCACCGCTGAGCTGGCTAAAGAAGTTATGCAGGGCTCAGGGGAATCCTGGAGGAATTTGTTCAAGTCTGCTGAGGTCTGCATCCTGACGCTCAAGTGCAC